TATACTGAACAACTTTGGTGTTCATCTGAATTAATCTCTAGGAGTTTGTTAAACTACAACGTCTGTGTATTTTACTGACTTGTGACTGGTTAATGTTAAGTTGTTACACATTTAAAGAGTTTCTGCGGTGTTGTTTATTTGTGGTTGTGAACATGACTAAAACATATTTTGTGAAAGGTTAATTTCAATGTGTTCAAAGCATATAAACATGTTTTAAGTTTATTGATAATTTTTTGTGTGTGGAAAACATGATGAATTACCTTTATGTAAAGACTTGTGACTGGTTAATGTTAAGTTGTTACACATCTAAGGAGTGTATAAAGGTAGGCTATCAATAAATGTGAACAATATGTTATTTTTTGTTCCTTTTTGACAGTTCAGCATATAATAAAAGGAACAAGGCTCCTACATATTTCAAGGCCCTCTGAGAAGTTGACTAGACAAAAACAGAACTTGGTGGGAAGCAAGGCAAGTTATTTTAATTGTTGATGAATTGCAAATTATCTGTTAGTCATTAATGCCTAATTGTCTTTAAAAATCATGTCCCTGTATTTAGGTTCAGAAGTAATATACTGTGTGTGTGTGTGTGTGTGTGTGTGTGTGTGTGTGTGTGTGTGTGTGTGTGTTGCATGTGCATAAAAAATAAAGAAATTTTGTTTTTCTTTATTAAACTAAATAAGGTTGAATATTATGTGGTAAGCAGTAGGAGGAAATACATTGCTTTCTGACTCTTTTTAGTGGTAAGGATTGTGGAGTAGAGCAGTTTGGAAGATTTTGAGAGGCAATTTGAATGAAGACTAATGTTTATTTTATGTTAGTCATTGAGCAATAGTTATGTTAGTTTTTAAACTATTTTCAGTATACATGATTATTCAAAATGTGGGGTCACTAAGATTTGCAAAAGGTTTTTGAAAGAAGTTTTGGTAACACTTTCTATGAAGCCCATATTTATAATACATTATAAGGGTATTCTTAAGGCATTATAATGAATGCATAATACATTATACAAAATTTTATCAAAATTAATATTAGCCTCACAGTGAACACTCAAATAACACTCCACACCTAACCACTCACAAGATGTAGTAAGATACTGTGCAGATCTTAAATAAACAATGTCAAGATATACAGTATAGTCCATTATAAAAGTAAAAGTAGGTTTAATATGGTGTTCATTGTGTTATAAATAATCATAATCTTAAAAGCTATAACCACAAATGCGTAAGCATTAAAATGTATTATAATTGTTGTTATGATTATTTATAAGATCATATAACATATTATAAGGTTGTGCCTTATAATGTGCAGTTTTAAGCTTATTTTTGCGATGCTTCTTAAATAATTTTGAATGTGTGGCTGCGTGATGAAAAATTTATTAAAAAAAATTTTAAACAGTAAAAGTCATTACAATTTCAAGGGAAGTAATTGACTATTGTGATTTTTATTTAATTTTTTTTATGATTTTGTTATTCAAGCTTTGTATTTTTATGTTACGTATTTGTACAATATGATACAAATAAACAATGTCATGTGTTTCTTTTTACAGTTCACCATATAATAAAACGATTGAGGTACTTCATATTACAAGGCCCTTTGAGATTCTGAGTAAAAGAAAAGAGAACTTGGTGGGAAGCAAGGCAAGGTACTTTAATTGTTGATAGCATTCCAAAACAGCTGTTAGTCATTAATGTTTAGTTATTTTTTGTGCCAATCAGATTTTTTTGGAGATATAGTTATAATAAACATCAGCCTGCATCATATTGTTAAACTTATGTCTGTGTTTTAAGGTCTAATAGCAATATATATATATATATATATATTTTTTATGATTTTCTATATTTTATATTTTTGTAATAAACAAATTTTACTTTCTCTAAGTAGATAAAGAACACATTTTATTTCACCACAGTAATTTTACATATTATACTTTTTTGATTTAGCCTGTTAAAATTGACCATTTACAGTTACTACTATTGTAAAAATAGTTATAATTAGGTTTACTATAGGTTTTGTATAATTTTTATACATTAAGAAATATAATGTGAATAAAAGGACATGAATCTAAGATGGTGTTTCTTTTTGATGAGTTTATTTATACACTTGATTTTAATGCCGTATGTTTATCACTTGTGCATCAATGTAGAAAAAGTTATACAGACATTTTTGAGAAGAAACATTTCTTTGAGAACT